ACTTAGTGGAGATAGTGTGGGCGATAGAATGTCGATAAAAAAATCCTCCAACTCGACCAATAAGGGTTGCACTGCCTTAAATATCAATTCCTTAGTCTCACTCCCTTATGGCATCATGAATTTTATTCCTGTCGGTCCTACCACCAGGCCTTGTAAGAAGGTAGTATGGGATCCATGGCTCCATTGTTTGGCTAATCACTTTTCATATGGGCTTCTTTCAAGGTGGAAGTACAATGTTCTTCTCATCCTTGGTGAATAACTAGATGTTTTTATAAGTCATGAAATTGTGTTTCTGGTCCTATTATCAATGTCTGCTTAACAAAATATGAATTTTTTATAGGCACGACGTCACACCACTTATAACTGTTCTGTTACACAAAAGAATGAAAAACGGTGAATCAAGGAAGAGGAAAGGAGACGTCGGGTAAATGAACAAAAAGGAGACGAAGCGAGGAGTCGACAGTTAAAGGAGGGAGATGAATTGAAAGAGGGGAGAGGAAACGAGATCGAGAAGTTGAAGTAATTTTGCCTATATAAGTTGCATACCCACTTACTTGAGAACGACGTGGGAGAAGGAGCCGAGACGACATAATTGTCAAGCCGCAGTCGAGGAAGACAAAGAGGAAACTATTTCTCGTACGCTTCAAGCAGGCAAGACGAGTCGAGCACAGAGGGAGAGGGAAGACGTCAGTGCCCTAATCTTGCGATGCAAAGGATCGCACAAAGAAGGGCGCAAGCGTTTATGTGAAGAACAGAGTAAGAAGAATGAGCCAAGAAAAGGAGAGGAAGTGTGTGTGGTTGGAGTTCGAACAAAGGAGAAGTTCTGTTGAGACGAGCCGAGTCGAAGAGGAAGACGAAGGAAGAGCTTCGGTCTTGCCCTAGCCTACGAACGAAAAAGAAGAGAAAGGAGATCAACCAAGGTAAGGGATAGCCTCTTTTATTAAAGTAATTTAGTAATAATAATAATAATATTATTATTATTATATTTATGTATATTATTGATTAGTTAAAATAAAAATGAGATAAATTATTTAATTTGTTATAACATAGTAAATATGAATACGTGTTTGATTTACCGTTCAATTTTAGCAGAGTTGACATCAAGGCAAAACAATCAATATTGATTTGAGTATTTTTACTTCTAAATTATTATAATAATGTTATATTTCTTCTAAATCACTTACATTAGTCAAGATATATTGTTAATGCAACTAGAATATGATTATAATGGTCTATTATTCAATTTGGTCATCTAAAATTGCATGTGAATGAGTTGCATAGTTATGTTTATGTACCATACATGCATGTTATAAAAGAAATATATTGGATGATATTTAGAATGTAAACAAAATAAACACTAATGTACTCATGCATGTAAATGAACATGAATATTGATATTTATGTACCTTAAGTGGTACAATTTTTTGATGGCGTCTCATTTAATGCTTGTATAGATGTAAAATGATATTGATATAAAACTTTTTGAATAACTTGTTAAATTTTTATATTAATTTATAAAAAAACTTAATCAGTATGGATATTGTTCGTTTCCCTTATATTATTTTAGTTCAGTAGTATAAGTATTCACTAGTTCTTTTAAATCACGGTTGTTTTAGCTAACTTTTTAGGTTTAATTAAATTATTTAAATATAAGTGATAGACGAGAAAATGTTTATAGAAGACACGGTCAGCCATTAACAATGTAATTTTTAATTGTATCTCTTTAATTTAATTTATAGTGGCTTTTTCATCTGTTAGATTATATAGATTAAGATTGAAAATTTAATTCACACCGTCCGACTGTCCGTTCCAGCCTTGGTTAATTCTAAGCCCCTAGTTGGGCCATGACACCACTTCTGTTTTTGAAGCTTGTATTTAATAAAAAATTTATTTGATGCCTCTTATCAACAATGATTTAAATCACTTTATTCAATGAAGTTAGAGAATACAACTATGGTTGTTTATGGATGGTGGGGCTCATTTTATCTACATTTTGGGCAGATATAATATTTTAACAGCTATTACACGCCATCTCGTTGATAGTTTGACACACAATGCATTGTGTCAAAGCTAGTATTGGTCCTACTTTGGCTTGGTTTGGATAACTTGCCAAAACACAAGCATCTTTCCATCATTGGTAGAAGTTGATGCTCATCCTCATTCACGACCTCTTTTAAATCGTCATTGCCTGCCTCTTCAATTGCTCTTTGGTAAAATTGCTCTTTTGATTGGACAATTGGACACAATGTGTCCATAACCATAACACGAAATATTTTTTGGACAAAAAAAAAATTGAAGATGTTGTTCTGATCATTCTTTTCTCCTTGGCTAATTTCTCTCTTGCGAGGCAGGATTTGACCATCTAGAAGGGGTGCCCTTGTTGCCTGATTTTATGCCCGAGCCTTATTTGAAGGGTGTTGTGTTATTTGTTTACTTTCATAGCTTGAGTTTGTATATCCAATAAGAATCAATATGTTTATAATTGCACCACATGACTAATAGATGGTTTTAAACCTCCAATGTACTGTGCCGTTGTGTTTTTATCTAGTCACCAATTCATATTTCAACATTAATTATTCAAATTTTGCAAGTATATTATTTGATTGACTACTCCTTTTGTTGTGGATTGTGGAGCATCAATAAGACATTTTATATGTAGTATGTTAGAAGGTACTTGCGTTTTTTTTTCATTTTCTTCTTAAATCACACAGTGATTATGTTTTTTTCCTTCACATTAACATAGGTGCTTCAAATTCTTCCACCACAAAAGGAACGCCCCTCTTGAGTTTTGTAATTGCCAACTTGACTTTTTTTTGGTGAATATCTTTGTATTTAAAAATCCATTCCTTGATTTGGAGCCATTCAATAAAATGATTTGGATCCATACGATAGTCAAAATCTGGTAATTTAATTTTCAGCCCAAAATCATTCTATCTACTTCTATACCCAACACCAACTTGACGAGCCATTGACCCTTCATCACTTTAAGCTTCTTGATGAAAGGGATTTACTTCCTTGTCTATAGGGGATTATCGTTATGGTTATAGGTGACTTTCTCTTTGTTGCATTTTTTTCATAATTGGCCAATCTACACTGTTATTGTAGGATTTCTTGTTACACATCCTTCATGGTTAGCTCTTGAAAACTCATTTGGGGATCTTTTATCTTTTTGTCATTTGATTCCTTTCGTTTTAGTGTTTGGGTTGGAGGTGGTGGGTGTGGTTTTTTATAGATAGAAGAGTTATGTTATGTGGGTTTTGATATTAAAATTGGGAGTAGTAAATTTTCCAAGAACTAGATTTTTTATGACTTTAATATTAAATGTTACGGATCGAAGGTTTTCTTAGATAATGTATAGGAATTAATATATGGATTATAATATTTGTAATAAAGATATGAACATTAGAATAACATTAAATAATAGGATTTTGAGGTTGGAGGGCCTGACAACTGTTGTTGGATGACGTCAAAGGAAAAAGAAGTTGGTGTTGTAGGATGCAGGGGTGTCAATTCAGGTCACCGGATTGGGTTCAGGTCCGACCCAAAAATGATCTGACTCGAATGAGGTCAACTCAAACCTGACCCAAACAATAAACAGGCCAAAAATTAAGACCTGAACTCGATTTGTCTCGCTAACCCCGACCCGAGTCGAAATTTTGTATTTATTTGGGTCATGTTTTGGTTTTCGGGTTCAACCATAATAAACGGGTTGAATTCTCTGACCCGAACCCGACTCAAAAAATATTCGGGTCAACCATAACCCAAATTTTTCTAGTGGAGCTCGAGTCGGGTTGGCGTGTGGTCAATTTTTGACACCCCAGTATGGAGTTACACGAGACATGAGAAGGGTCTACCACATGTACTCGATCAAGATAAATCTATAAGTGGAAAATTATAGCAATCTCACAAGAGGAGAAAATAGATACCAAGTCTCTAATAACATTAAATCAAGCCAAATGTCACCAACAAATCTAGAACAAATGTTTATGCTAAAGAGAACAAGCGTACACTGGCCTAATTCTAATCTAAGGTGGCAATTAGAAGACCAGGGAGCCAGTCGGTCAACGTGGTAGTGCAAGCTCGGAGCCGACCCAAATTTTGAACAGTTAGGGCCGGTTCTTGTTCCTTACTCTATTTCGCTTGGGGTTCCTTTTCCGCATCAAGTTTCCTTGTTCAGTGTGCCTTGTCCTCGTCAAGTTTCCTTGCTCACACCCGCCGCTTTTGGGGACTTTGGTTCTTAATTTCAAGCTGAGCGTGCCATCTTAACTGTTTTGACACCTCTCTTGGTCTCCTAGATAAGGAGTGGGCAGAGGAGATGTTCTAGTTGATGAAATCACTAACGAGCCTATCTTTTTTCCACATCGGTCATTTTATTGGATTTAATTGGCTTGTGAGAGTGAGCGCATTATCAGAATTATTCATGTTTGAATTGCGTGAAAATGATGGAAATGAACTTTTGTGCTACACAATTGAATGCTGTGAGCCAACTCTTTTCTTTCCATATTATGCTTGGTATTAGAATTGTCGTAAACAGAGTTTCCTCCACATAGTTTACTGTTTTTTAATTGAAGAATGCTTGTGGAAAGCTCATTTTTTTTACTTTGTAAAAGAAAAGCATATGGTTAGATTATATGGGAGGTTGTTAAACAAACTAATGTATCCTTCAATGAAGAACCAATGAACTTTGTTTATCGAGTTTTCAGTATAACTTTTAAGCTTTTATTATATATTTGCTTAAGAATGATCTGAATTCTTATCTAGTTTAATGTTTTCAACATATCTTAATTATTGTCTTTTGTACCTAAAGATTCTTTTCTATGTATTATGCTTGAGCAATTGGTTTATTAGTATGCATGGGTTTGTGTAGTTTTTACAAACAATTTCTTTAAGTTCTATGTTTAATGTGATTATTGACTTAAACTTAGAACTAAACTTTCCAGTGTTTTCTTCTCTGCTAAGTGTTGAATATAGTATGTTAATAAGCATTCAGTTCTTCTCAGGTCTGTGGAACTGGTAGAGGTTTATCAGCTTGGAACCTAATCTCATATGAGTGTATTTTCAGCTTCGATAGCCATTCCCCAATCCAAGATCTATTGTTTCATGATAATCAAGTAAATTTCTCACGACGGTCGTGCTTTCTTTTTTTTTATAATTCTTTGGGGAATTTTGTATACGTCTAGTTGAAACGACAGCTTATTAAAGAAACAAATGGATATCAAATTAATCTTAAATGTTCTCCCTAGTTGATTTTAATTTTATTTGATTTTGCATCTGAATCTATTAACGTGTAAATGAAATCTACCAGTATCGTCCAAAAGGAAGCATTTACCATCCATGAGAGTACTACTTAATAATCTGAATTCATGAAAAAAAGAATATCACCATAAATCACAAGTGATTTTTATGTTTTGCCATTTATTTAATTTAAAGTTTTTTGAGAAGTCAATCCAGCTGCTTTCTCTTGAATGGTAGCTGATACGTCAATTCTATTTAGACACCATAAAAAATGTGCATTGGCCCACCGGGACCACGGGGAAAAACCCATTGCATTGAAAAAGGGGGCATTTACGTAATTACCACCCAAATCCTTTGTATCTACGTAAATAACATTTTAATTAAAGTTTACTTCTCATAAAAGCCTTGAGACCTCCTACCTTAATCAAACTCGATTTTCTGATGAAAGGGCAAAAAGTCTGAATTTTTTCCAAAAAATCAAGTTTGGCTGCTAGAGTTGTGGTATTTTTTTATTTGATATGAAGGATTTGGGTGTTATAAATGTAAAAATAAAAGTTTAGTTGTTAGATATGTAACTACTTAAGATTTGTGTGGTATGTATGTAATTGCCCCATTTTTTGTAGAATTAAAATTTCTAAAAGTGAATAATCTTCATTAAAAAAAAGGGGTATTTACATACATACAACACAATTCTTATGTATTTATATATCTAACACCTAAACATTAATATTTTCTTGTATACCACTCAAATTTTTAGCATCATATTAAAAATACCACACTTGCTATCTTTTTAAAAGTGAAATACACATTTTAATGCATGGGTTTATGACACCAAGGTGTTATTGGTGTAAATATCAAACTTTGGGTGTTAGATATGTAAATAAGTAATGATTGTGTGGTATGTATGTAAATTTCTCTAAAAAATGGATTTAATTAATTTATTTAAGCATTAGCTTGTTATTATTACTATATGCAAAAAAATTAAATGTCTAATTTTATGCATCAGATTTTTGGCTTTTTTTATTTGCATATTATTGTGAAACCCTTTTAAGTAGCATGGTGTTGAACTCGTAAACATTGAGACTTCTTTTAGTTTAATCGCTGGGATTTCATTAAAAAATTTGAAGTTAAGCGAGCTCTTATAGGATATTAGCCTGAGAAGTTGCACCAATGGGACAAAAGCATGAGGCTATTTGGCCGTTGTAAGCAATATCACGATGTGAGAGTTTAGGCCGGTACATTTATTTTCTTTTATTTACTCTAAACATATGGTGGTTTGCCTCACTTTTGTTTTTGGAAGATTTACATACATACCACTCAATTTCTGCAGTATGTGATGTACTTTTCACCATAAAAATGTTAAAATAATCACCTGTAGTGATTTGTTTTGATGAACATACACACGTTTCAATGAGCTAGTGTATTTTGTTGGAAGATCTACATACATACCACTGAAAGTCATTTATTTTAATTATATTTATTTAACTTTTTTCAGTGCAGGTGTTTATGTTGTTGCACTCTTTAAGCAAACTAGTGTGTGTGATTTACTTTTCTTTTTTATAATACTCGTTCTCCTTTTTCCGCTCTCTCCAGATTCTGGCAGTTGGTTCTGAACCTGTGCTAAGATGTTTCAATATTAACGGGAAAATTCTTTCTCAAGTCCATTGCGCTCCTTTTTCAGCGTTTTCTATTTCTGTGCATCCTTCAGGAGTATGTTTCATTAATTTTTATGCATTCTTCGCCATTTTATATTGGGAAATTTACATACATGCCACACAATTCTTACGGATTTACATAGGTAACACCTAAGGTTTGATATTTGCACTATGATACTTTGGTGTTAACAGTGATTGTGATATTTTTTATGTGATGTTAAAGATTTAAGTGGTATGAATGTGAATATGAATGTTTAGGTGTTAGATATGTAAATACATAAGAATTGTGTGGTATGTATGTAAATGCCCCTTTTATGTTTTGCATTCCATAGTTGCAGTTCTTGTTCTCTTCTTAGATGTGCCTTGTGTTATTAAATTTAATTGTTAAGCATTTCAAGGTGTCCATGAAATTTATGGCGGAATTATCTTCTTATCAATAATATATATATATTATAAACATTTACAGAAGACCCGAATTGGTTTTTAAAGAATATTGAAAATGAGTGTTATCTGAGGCTGTTTATAAATGGAAAATTTACATGCATAACCCACATTTATTGTGTATTTAAATATCTAACTCCTAAACTATAATTTTTACATTTATGTCACCTTACCTATGCATCAAACGATATATTTCACTTTTAGAAGTTAAAATGGTGATATTTTTTTATGTGATATGAAAAAGATTTGGGCGGTATAAATGTAAAACATCAAAGTTTAGATGTTGTTAGATAGGTAAATACATATGAATTGTTGGTATGTATGTAAATGCGCCCTTTGATATTAATGAATGAATAATTGACATATGGTAAATCAGATTAAATAAGCTCATGTGGTCATGAAACTAATTAAAAAATTGTTCTTTGTGGATCCTCAGGTCAAAGCAGTTGCTGGTTATGGTGGACTGGTGGATATTATCTCAGAATTTGGCAGCCATCTTTGCATATTCTGCTGTAAAAGCGCAGACTCTCTTTAATAATCTGAATCCGATTATTAGAAAGCCTTTCATAATTGCTTGGTGAACTGCTGCTTCCGTTCCACCAGACGTCTTTCCTACTTTTTCTCCATGGAGAAAAATTTGATCCTCGCCAGGCTATCTTAGTCCTATGCCTTTTTTCTACAAATCTCAAAATATTTGGGGTTTGTTTGGAACAACACTTTGTTTGCGTCACTTCACCACCATCACAACTATATTTGAGGAATTGTTTTATTGTTACTTTCTTTAAATTTCTATGGTGGAGTACTATCTGTTTAACATTTGTGACTGTAAGGAAGTTTTCTGATCTCTTAGAAAACAATAAATATTTATAATTCACATCATAATTTTTTATGATGTTATTTTCACCATCATAGTTTTATAAACAATTTTTCAAGAAGTTGCAACTGTTCCAAACGGATCTTAGACTTCTGTTCAAACTTCACTTGGTCGGAGAATTACACCTCACGGTCTTCTATTGGTGGACCCTCCTTTGTTGTATTATTTTATTCTGTATCGGTAGATCTCATGATCAATGCAGCCTTTCTTTTGATGTATAACATACCAGCCAATTCTTATGTATTTACTTATCTAATTCCTAAATTTTACCTTTCACATTTATACCATCCGAATTTTTTGTTATCATCATCATCATTTTTTTTTTTTTTTGAGATTTACATGTTTTTGTAGAATTAAGTGAGGTCAAGTTCTGCTCTTAAGGCAATTTATCAGACCTACTCGGAGGATTTAGAGAAGAAGGAGACAGGCAACGGGATGGAAGGCAGTAGAAATCTGATGAAAACATGGAAGATCTTGCCAGGAGATAACGTATACTTTTCAACCCATTGCTCTCGATCTAGGTTTAGGGTCTTTTTTTCTCCATTGCGAACTCAATTTTGAATCGTCTCAGATTATATTCGATTGTTTTTTTTTTAAAATTTTTCTAATTAATTTCATTCATTTTTCGATCTTCATTGATTTGTATGTGATGATCATGAGAGGCAAAGAGAAGGGCGAAACGGGCAACATCAAGGTGTTATTCGCTCCCACTCCCAGAACCATATTATTGCTGAAGGGAAAAATCTGGTTTGACATTGAACTTTGATTTCTTCAAGCTTAGATTTCCCACAAACAGGATATGAAAGTCCCTTTAGGTTTTCTTTTCTTTGGATATAAATTTCACCAACTTTTAGTTTGTGTCCTTTCCTTTTGCAGTAGCAACATGGCGGTCTAGTTAGGACTACCGAAAAAGCATGTTGTTTGCTAATAACTTGTGTTTGGCTTGCTATAGAACTTGTATTTGATTTGTTTGTTATTTAAGCGAGCCAAATAAGAACAAATTTTTGCTGGATCATATTTGGCTCATTTTAGGCTCATTTTAGGCTCAAAATTAAGCAGGGAATTAATAAATAATAAACAAGATACATATAATATACTATTGATTTTAATGTTTTTTGCATTATTTTTTATTTTTAATATACAATGATTCTGCATTTATGCGGGTTGTTGAGACGCAAAAAAAACAATTCATTTAGTTCAACCTCACTTGGAAATTTAGATTTGCATTGCTTATATATGATAAAGAACAAGGCTATCACCTAGTTTAGTGCCTTGAGTGATTGAGCGTCTATGTGTTCCATGTGGGAACTTGCAAGTTGTGAGCCATGTGGGGGTATTTTGAATATATTAAAAAGATTTAATAAGATTTAAAATTTTTTTTAACTTAATTACATCCCCTAGCTTTTGAGTTATGAATGTTTCTTTTATAAAAAAATAGATTTAGAGTTTTTAATCAATTCAAGCTGAGCACAGCTCAATCGAGCTTAATTACATTAATGCAAACCGAACAATAGTAAGGCATTCAAAAATAATTTTGAACATGAGTCAATTTTGAACAAATAAATTCAAACGAGTTGAAAATAAATAAACACTTAGCTCGTTGAAGCTCGGCTTTTTTACACACTTGAATGGTCTTTATGCTCTATATTTGAATCTCCAATTTTTTTACAATTGCAATCCTGAATTTTTGTCTGATTGAAAGAGATTTGTTTTTTTTTCAAGTACAATAGCTTTGATACTAGCAGATGAGAAAAAGAAAAAATGAATCCAATATCATACCCTTGAAATAGGATTAGGGGTAAGATATATACATGAACGCAAACCTATAACTAGTTTATTCTCCCTTAATTGCTTTGAGGCACGGCATTTGAATAGACCTTTTGGTGTAAAGCACTGTTTCATGTCTGAGGTGTGAAGGTGCTACAAAATCGAGGCAAACTGAATACTAGATATGGCCTTAAGTTGGGGTGAAGGTCGGCCAGTGGGATAACGAGGAGTGGGCTTCATTATTAAGAAGGAAACAACTCGGATCACCAAGGACGCTAAACGATCGCTCATTAATAAAGGAGGTATGAGTGCAGAGAAAGCTAGGAGGTAAGCAACTATTTTTTTATTTTTATTTAAAGATAAATACATATTGAAGAAATCTATAGGGAATTTTCAAGAAAGCCTTCAAAAAAAGTTGAAACTTTTTTGTTTATCAATGCCTTAAATCATGGGATTAATCCCTTGGATATGATGTAAGGTTCATTTTAGAGCTAATTTGGTACTCTGTGATTTTAGATTTTTGTACTTATTTTTTAATGGACTTGGGTGTATTGTCAATTTTCACCACGAGTCCATGTTTAATCAAGTTGATTTGTAATGGTTTTGTGCGAACTTGAGTTAGCCTAGATCTTTCAGTGGTCAAAATCCAAACTAGTGATGGCCATCTCATTAGAGGATTTCTTGGTTACCTTTGGCCATGTCATCACTTGGCCTCCCCCTCACCATAACCTTGATATTGAGGCCACCTCCTTGTTAGGCCCCAAACTGGTTGGGCGTAGGGATAATTATAATTATTTGGTTTTGTAATTTTCTCTTATGAAAGAAAGTTTCAATTGTTTTTTAAATGAACTTTTATTTTCTGTTTATTGGCATCAACCAAGTTAAACTGTTACAGCCATGTTGATGGATTTTCTTACCTATATTTGTGCTTTATTAACATGTTGTTCCCTTTTTTTGAAACTTTGATGTCTGCATAACTGTTTTATGTGCTTCATAGATGAACCATTTCTGTGTAAAAGGTTAATTTAAAGGAAGATTTACAAACATACCATTCAATTCATGTGTGTTTACATATCTACCATCTAAACTTATTTAATCATTTTTAATTTGCAGCTGGTATCATTTTTAATTTTGCAGCTGGCCCAAAAGACACACCCATTGATGTTGTGCTTGAGAAAACTTATGATGCTAAGGCTGGGATTGGCATGCCTGATCTGTAGATTCACTACTAAGGTTTGTTCTTTTTGTTCTGTTTAAAAATCAACTGAGAGGTTGATTTGTAAATATCAATGTTTCAAGTGCTCTGCATGTAATTATCCTTTTTTTTTATATTGTGTCTATATATTTTTCAAAAATCTTCTCTTTCGTTCCAGGTATAAACTTGTTTTTATCTCTTTGATGCAATTTTAGCATTTTAACCACTTCTTATTTTATTATCTATATATTTTTCAAAATTCTTCTCTTTTGCTCCAGGTGGAAACTTGTTTTCATTTCTCAGTTGCAATTTGAGCTCTGAAGAATTTTCATGCGGATGGAATCATATTGACATTACTTGTATTAGGAAATCTTAGGGTCTTTTTGCTAAAAAATAATTTAATTTTCTAAAAGCTGCGGTGTGAATTATACTTTTTTTTTTATTTTTGAAAAAGTCGGGTCTCACCTAGAAAGCTGTCACCGCACCAGCCAGGACCAATGGGAAAGCACTAGTTTCAACGTCAGTTTTTTGAAAAAGTTTTCAAAACGTAGCTTACCCAAACAGACAAAACTGTGGTGCAGTGCGGTGTCGCACCGCCACCTCAAACGGAAGTCTTTGAATCTTTTATGCTATCCCTGTTGTATGGGCCCACGATTTTTAATTAATAACCCTTAAGAAATAAATAGGTGTGATTTATGACATTCTTGGATCTCGTCCTAATGCTTATGGTACTAATCATAACAATCGTCTTGCACTTAAAATTCAAAAATTCCTATACTTTAGAAATTTATTACGTGCAACACATTCGGGCGACAGTCCGGATGCGGTCACACCACCTTAAATTATAAGGTTTTTGAGATGCTTTACTCTTGTAATGCTTTTGAAATTGTAAAAGAAATTCCTTACTTTTGTAATGCTTTTGAAATTGAAGTTCCAAATATGAACTTTTCTTTTAAGGCTCAATGAAAATCAATACAAAGAGATGAATAAATTACAAAGTTACATCATTATTGTGCCGAGTTATTCAATAGTGTGATTGATATGCAATTTCATGACTTGAATAATCATTTCTCTAAAGTATGTACTAGATGTAAGTGATTCATTCTCAACTTTTGATAAGGGAGAATGAATTTGCCTTGCAAAGTTATATCCCAATGATTTTTTCAAATTTGAGCTTATAACTCTCGATTAGCTGATATCCGTTTAGATTATCAACATGCACTCTGCTGATGATTCCTTGTTTTTTAGAGGCATTGTTGATCTCGCAAAACAGCTTGTTAAAACTAAGAAGGATTGTGTGTATTATCTCGTTTAGAGGTCTATTATATTGGTATTAGCTTTACCAATTGGTGCTACTACAACTGAAAGAATTTTTTCTATAATGAAGATTACAAATATCGATTATGCAGATGAATGAGTGACGACTAGCTCAATGATTGTCTTATACCATACGTTGATAAAGGAATATATGACTTGATTCCCAATGAATCTATTATGCAGTATTATCAATCAATACAAAATAAATTGAAATTTTTGTGATTATCATTCAATTCTTTAATGATAATGGTGAACAATCTTTTGTTGTTAATTATATGTTATTCACTTTTCTTAAATTTATTAATTGATATATAACACTAAAATTCCTAACATAGCAAAAAGTATCATTATTAATTATGTTTTAAAGGTGAAATGTACATTTGTATGCATGGGCTTATCATACCAAAATATTATAAATGTAAATATTAGATTCTATGTTTTGGATTGGAAAATAATTGGGTGGTATTTTCTTAAAATATGCTAACTTAAAGTTAACTAAAAATGATATATTAATCCGAAATTTATGTTAATCTTAATAGATGTTGCTAATTAAATTAAAAGGCGTTAATTAAATCAATTAATATTATTTATGGTTCAATTTGAGTGAGTTAAGTCATTAATGTCCTATAAAATTAGAATTAATAACAAGTTATATTAATACAAATTATTGAAATTCTATCAAACAAATGAAATATGCACGTGTTAAGTAAATAATTTAATCTTAATAATTAATATTAATTAATTAAAATATATTCTCATGTTAATTAATGTTTTTTTATATTTTATTTAAGTGATCGAAATATAAGTTGTTATTTACTCAATTGTAATTTACTAGGTAATTACAATTCAAATTAATTAATTATGATTTGATTAGTACATTAAGATTGATATAATTAAAATAAAATCCAATTGGGGTATCACTGAGCTCCTATATATTTACCTATCTTACAACTAAGTTTTACATTTTACATTTATAGCACGAAAGATTTTCATATCAATAAAATTGAACAGGGGAATTAAGTGAGCTCCAGTTCTGCTGTTAGGGCAATTGAGCAGACCTACTCGGAGGATTTAGAGAAGAAGGAGACAGAGAGGCAATGGGATGGAAGGCAGCAGAAAAGCTGATAAAAAAATGGAAGATCTTGAGAGGAGATAACGTATGCTACAACCCATTGCTCTCGATCTAGGTTTAGGGACCCTTTTCCATCGCGGACTCAATTTTCAGTCGTCACAGATTATATTCGATGGGTTTTTTTTTTTTTTATTTCTCTCGTTAATTTCGTTCATTTTGTCGATCTTCGTTGATTTGTAGGTGATGATCATAAGAGGCAAGGACAAGGGCGAAACGGGCAACATCAAGCGTGTTATTCGCTCCCAGAACCGTGTTATTGTGGAAGGAAAAAATCTGGTTCGACTTCAAACTTAGATTTCTTCAAGCCTTCCGTTCTGTTACTAGTTTTTCATGCATTTGGTTTTACTGCCCGTCGCCATTCCTCTCATGTTCTTGTAGTTTCAGGCCATCCGAAACATTGATATTTACAAATTAACCACCTGGCTGATTTTTTTGAACTGCCGAACCGATATGTTTTACGCGTGCTACGATCAAACTATTGAGAATTTGTTAAAAATGAAAAATATGGGTTGGGGATTTACCATGAATTTTGATATTTGAGTGAGAATTTGAAAAATGGATGAACGAGGGCGGTTGATTTGTAAATAGCAAGTTTCGGGTGGTCTTTATGTAATTGCCCCTTTTTAGGGAAATAAGGTGGAGGGAAGGTGTTGGGGCGGAGGTGGTGGAATGATTCTGCTGTTTTCATTCACTCTATATATTCATGGGGCATTTGCATGCATACCACCCAATTCCTATGTATTTACCACCATTTTAACTTTGGGGCATTTACATACATACGACCTAATTCTTATGCATTTACATATCTAACACCTAGACTTTACTTTTTTTGCATTTATACCATCCAAATCTTTCATATCACATCAAAAATATCACTATTTTTACTTTTAAAAAGCGAAATACACCGTTTCATCCATAGGGAATGTGGCATGTTTGTAAAAATTGAAGTTTATGTGTTAGATATGTAAATAGATAAGAATTGAGTGTCATGTATGTAAATCTTCCTTTTTAGTTTTAAAACATGAAATACACCTTTCCATGCAGATGTAAGATGGTATGTATGTAAAAATTGAAATTTATGTCTTAGATATGTAAATACATAGAAATTGAGTGGTATGTGTGTAAATCTTCTTATTTGATTGTTCAGTTTCTTAGACTGCTATCATTTATTCAGTGCAATTTTCTATTGTTAGTTTCTTCGGTTCAATTGCTTCTTTCCTTAGGTATATAACTATGCATAAGAAGAAACCTTTTGCAGGTAAAGAAGCACGTCAAACAAGGACAAGGACATGAAGGAGGAATATTCTCAGTTGAAGCTCCACTTCATGTCTCAAATGTTCAAGTTATTGATCCAGTGACTGGGTATGCTGTATTTTTGAACAAAAGTCCAAATATAATATATAATGATTTTGCAATCTCAATATATAATGATTTTGCAATCTCTTTTTTTTTTTTGTTTTTAGAATCAATTTTCTTGTAGGTTTAATCTCCTTTGATTTCTCAATTAGGAGGCCTTGTAAAATTGGATTTCGTTTTATGGAAGATGGAACCAAGGTAAGAGTTTCTAGAGGACAAGAAGCTTCGGGCTCTATAATCCCCCGTCCGGAGATATTGAAATTGAGGAGAAAGCCGCGACCCACGGAACGTATGTGTCAAAGTTCTTAAGCACATTTATCTAAGAAAGAAATTTTACGTTATACTGGGATATTTATGGTTGTTATGCCTGTTCGAGGATTTTTTTTGGTGGCATTTACATAAATGTCACAAAATTCTTATATATATTAGACATTCGACACCTAAACTTTGATTTTTACATGCAGAGTACTCAAATCTTTAACATCACCTAAAAAACATCCCTATTCCTAAATTTTTAAGTGGAATACACATTTTCACACAGTTTTATAACACCATAATGTTATAAATGTAAACATCAAACTTTAGGTGTTTGATATGTAAATACATGAGACTTGTTTGTTATGTAAGTAAATTTCTTTTTTTTCCACCGGCGTAGCCGGATTTGTCTTGTATGTTCTATCTTTTTATTTTACATGAAGAGCCCCTCTATATTCTTTTCTTGATTCGCTTCATTCTCTGTAAATTTTTATAAAAAAAATTGATTTAGAGTTTTTAATCAATTCGAGCTAGGCACGACTAAAACAAGCTCAATTACATTAAAGTAAATCATACAACATTAAGGCATTCAAAAATAATTTTGAACACGAGTCAATTTTGAATAAATAATTCAAATGAGCTGAAAATAAATAAACACCTAGCTCGTTGAAGCTCAGCTTTTTTACACTCTTGTATGGTGTCTTTATTCTCTATAGTTGAATCTCCAATTTTTTTACGATTGCAAGCTTGAATTTTTTGTCTGATTGAAAGAGATTTGTTTTTTTTTCCTCAAGTACAATGGCTTTGATGCTAGCTGATGAGAAAAAGCAAAATGAATCCAATGTCATACTTTTGAAATAGGATAATGGGTAATCTATAGACATGAAATCAAACCTATAACTAGTTGATTCTCTCTTAAATGCTTTGAAGCAAAACAATTGAATAGACGTTTAGGGGTAAAGCACTCTTTCGTGTGTGAGGTGTGAAAGTACTACATAATCGAGGCAAACTGAATACTAGATATTGCCTTAAATTGGGGTGAAGTTTGGCCAGCGGGAAAATGAAGAATGAGCTTCATTATTAAGAAGGAAACAACTCGGATCAGCAACTAAGGACCCTAAATGATTGCTCAATTAATAAGGGAGGTCTGAGTGCAGAGAAAGCTTGGACGTAAACAACTATTTTTTAATTTCCATTTAAAGATAAATACATATTAAAGAAATCTATAAAGAATTTTCAAGAATGTCTTCACAAAAATTTGAAACATTTTTGTTTATCAATGCCTTAAATCAAGGGAATAATCCCTTGGATATGATGTAACGTTCATTTTAGAACTAATTTAGTACTCTGTGATTTTAGATTTTTGTACTTCTATTTTTATGTAGTTGGGTGTATTTCTTTTATTTTAACCTTGTGTTGGGTCAATTTTCACCACACGTTCATTTTTAATCAAGTTGAACTGTAATGGTATTGTGCGAACTTGAGTTAGCCTAGATCTTTCAGTTGTCAAAATCCCTATCATTTTAATCTTGTTTGATCAAACTATTGATTGCCATCTCATTGGAGGATTTCCTCGTTACCTTTGGCCATGTCATCACTTGGACTCCCCCTCACCATAACCATGATAATTAGGCCACCCCTATCTTTTATCGCTCTTATGAGTTATTAATACATGTTGAAAATGTGTTGCATTCAGTACCCACTACCCCCGGATATAGCATTGATGCTTTGCAAATTTGCTTAGGGGTTATTTGGTTGAGTGAATTTGTGGTTTATTGTAATTCATTTTACATGAATTTGACAAAATTATGTGCTTAATTAGAAGATACGAATACAATGTAAAGTATGAATGCATTTGAAGTTTACAACATGGTTCATTTTTGCTGCATTTAGGATTCTGGCTGACTAGACTGAATTTGTATTGCACCATTCATGTAAAATGTTATAGGCAAGACGGCGGACCAGCTTGACAGCCCGTCGTCGCTCGCCTCCACCATTCGCTGTTGTTCGCAGTTGCCCCCCTCCTGCTATCTCTGTGCAAAATAATATATTTTAAAATACATTATTTTCAATCTACTTCAAACCAAATTAAAAAAATATAAAATCCTACATTTATTTTCTGTGAACCAAACAACTCGAAAATATTTCCAATACATTGTAATCATAGTACTTCAACATTTTATTTTGCGTTTCATTTTCATCAATCCGAAAAATTACTTAACCTCTTCAAAGCCTACTCCATCTACTATTCCCATGCCATGGTTGTCTCATTGTCTTCATATACTTTGATGCTATGTAACTTTTTGATGATTGCAAGATTGAGATTTTAGCCACAGTGTGTTTTAATAACCAGTGAAAAACTTTTTACGTATGTGAGCTCATGACCCTTAGAGATGGACTTCTAATTAAGATCTCACTCCCATGATCAAAATTTGCTCATCGTAGTAAATTTCATTTTAATTGTGTTTCCTCCATTCTTTTTTCATATTTGTGATCTCATCGTTATTAAACTTGCAAGCTCTCATTTTAATAAAAATTAGTAGAAAGTCATAACTAAGTATGTTTCTGACATATGTTTAACATTTTACATATGATGTCAAGCTCAAGCAGTTGATGCTCAATAGCTTAAAATCCTTTATAAATTTTTTTGTTGAGTTAAATATTTCTGAAAGTCAAGGAATTATTAAACCGATAAAATCGTTGGATATTATTAAGCTTATAAAACTATTTCTATTATTAAATTAAAAATCAATTAACTTTGGAAAAGCTAGTTTATATTTTGGTTAAAAATAAAATTTTTGTTTACTAAAAAATTTTTTAATCACCTTGGTTATAAAAAAAAATTCCAAAAATGTGTTTATAAAGTTGCTATTTAGTCGGAAAATTCCCAAAATCTGCCTAATTCCATAGTCCCCTCTTCCCACTATAGTTTTTTTTTAGTATCACATAGTTTACACGCTTAAATTTGCCTAATTAGCCTATCAAACTCCATGGACAAAATCTCCGCATTTTTTTTTTTTGCCAAACTGTTGACTGCCACCTCATTCGGGAAGGAAGCGGATGGGAGCCGGCAGCGCGCCTCGGCCAACACATTTGCTATGATGAGGTCACCCTTAATTTTCTCTCGTCTTGGATATGCGTTGCGTTCACTACCTCTCCCTTAGAAATTACCTTCTTGCTCCCCAAACTTGTTTAGAGGATGTTTGGTTTGCTGGAGAAAGGAATGTATTGTATTTTATTAGGTGTACTTCGTGTCTATTTGGTTTAGTGTAAAATAAATGTTTAACTTTTTATTTACTGGCTTGGTTTGAAGAAAAACATATTCAAAATAAAATATGTCAGTCAGCCACTGTGGTAGTTGGTAGCGAGTAGTGGCGGGCAGCAGGGGAGAGGTGTCGGCAGCTGGCCTGTAGGTGCTGGAGGCAACTGGCGTCGTCAGCCGTGGCCAATATTTTACACAAAGCTATGAATTTGGAATGCAAGTGAATTCCAAATGTTTTGAAATCGAATCAGAGAATGAATTTTAATCACATTATAATTTTATCCCGCATTTATTTTGTTGCGATTAAATGCCTGGATTTCCAAAACTTCTGTGAAAGGAAGACAGCGCACTCTTGTTATTGCCGACCAAACCACCTCTCAGCTTATTTAAAACCCCAATCCTCCTCTCTCAACCTGTTAGCTACCTTTGCTGTACTTTATCCATATGTAATCGTTTTTTTTTTTGTGCTGTGACGTTATGAATGTTTTTCTGGATGAAAAGATTGAGATGTTGGCCACTTTGTGAGCTTTTCCTATGTGTTCTTTCCAACCCAAGAGAAGGATTTCTCGAGTGTGTGGCTTGCCATTTTGAGAGAGAATTCCAACTGCCGCTGAGCACTTATATTGGAAGTAAGATAATTATCATTATTCACATTTATGACTAGTTTAGTTTCCATCATAGCAATTTCATTTTTATTGTGTTTTCATTGATCTTCATATTTTTTATATCATTTTATCTAATTTGTCGCTTGTTTTTACATTAAAACACCCAACATATCATTTCTGTAAAATTTGTAATCTCTTGTGTCAATTAAAATTAATAGTTAGTCAAAATATAGTGGGCATGAATTAAGAGTGAAGATTTCCTTTGCTAAAATCATAAAAACCATTCCAGTTTGTCATAGAACAGGATCTCTCCTAGGGTGCCCATCCATTAAGAATGAGGATAAATTGGAGTAATTTTTGTCTTTTTCATGATTTTCTTCACTTGAATCACTCTCTCCTCATGTTTTGGATTTCAAGTTGCAATTTTGCAATTTAGTCCAGTCTCAATAATTTTTGGCCAATTAATCCTTCCAAAACTAATTCTTCCAATAACTCTGGTTTGCACTCTTGTTAGGCCCCAAACTGGCTGGGCGTAGGGATAATTGTAATTAGTTGGTTTTGTAATTTTCGCTTATGAAAGAAAGTTTGAATTGTTTTTTACATGAACTTTTATTTTCTGTTTGTTAGCATCAAATAAGTTAAACTGTTACAGCCATATTTGTGCTTTATTAACATGTTTTTGCCTTCGTTTAAACCTTGATATCTGCATAACTATTTTAAGTGCATCATGTCTTTGTAAAAGGTTAATTTAAAGGAAGATTTACGTACATACCACTCGATTCATATGTATTTACATAGCTAACACCTAAACTTATTTAATCATTTTTAATTTTGCAGCTGGCCCAAAAGACACACCCATTGATGTTGTGCTTGAGAAAACTTATGATGCTAAGGCTGGGATTGGCATGCCTGATCTGTAGATTCACTACCAAGGTTTGTTTCTGTTCTGCACGCTCTATTTGTTCTGTTTAAATGTCTTTTCTCTGCTATTCCGGAGGCTTACCTTCATTTTTTAGCATTTAAACCACTCACTACTGTTTCATCCATTTTTCAAATCCTCACTCAAATATCAAAATTCATGATAAAACCCAATTCTCAATGATTAGATCGTCGCACGGGAAAATGCATCGGTTCGATAGTTTAAAAAATCATCTGAGTTGATTTGTAAATATCAATGTTTCGAGTGCTCTTAATGTAATTATCCATTTTTTTTTTTATTGCATCTGTATATTTTTCAAAAATCTTCTTCTTTTTCGTTCCAGGTGGAAACTTGTCATCATTTCTTAGATGCAATTTGAGCTCTGAAGAATTTTCATGCAGATGGAATCATATTGACTCTGTGTTCTGTTTTTTATTTTCTTCCATATTATCTCCTACGACTCATGGATAATGTGACGTTCCTTCAAGTAGAGCACACTATTTATTAAATGTATTAGGAAAACTCAGGTGTTTTTGGGGCAGCTGTTGCTTATTAAAAAACAGTTGTGAAGTTGCTGAAAAATAAAATAATATTATAAAAGCTGCGGTGGCTATTATTATTATTATTTTTTTTTTTTTGAAAAAACCGGCTTGCAACTAGAATGCTGCCATCACACCTACTCAAGACCGATGCGAAAATGCAGTTTTCAACTGCAGCTTTTTGAAAAAGTTGTAAAAATTCTGTTTACCAAATAGATAAAACTGTGGTCCGGTGCCGCACCGCCGTCGCATCGCCGCCCCAAACGGAAGTGTTTGAATATGTTATGCGATCAATATTGTATGGGCCCATAATTTTTAGTAATAAAGCGAAAGTTAAATAAAAAAGTTGTGATTTATGATACTCATCTCTTCCTAATGCTTGTGGTACTAATCATAGCAATCCTCTTGCACTTAAAATTCAAAAGCGCCTAAACTCGAGAAAATGATTACGTGCAGCTGACCGCACATCTGAACAACGTTCCGGTTGTGGCCACGCCAACGTCAATTACAAGGTTTTTGAGATGCCTTACTTTTGTACTGCTTTTGGAAGTGAGGTTCTAACTATGAACTTCTCTATCAAGGCTCGATGAAAATCACACAAAGCGATGAATAGATAAAATTGAATGCAGACTCAAAGCTCACATGGTGAAAAGAAATTATTCAAATGTTTTAATAATTAAGTTTGCTGAATGAAAAAGTTATTACTTGAATATCCGAATAGAAGATGTCTTGGGATTTATAAGATGTTCTTGCTCGGTCAAATTAAAGCTTTTCATGATGTATTCGACTGCAATTTGAAGATAGAATTGATTTTACATTGATTCAAGTTTTTCTTTGTAATGAAAGATTTAATACAAAAGTTTTGAAATTTCTCACTTATGAGATATAATTTTCTTACCTAAGACATATATAGGTAGAGCAGTCTTGTTGAAAGTCGTAAGTCTCCTCAGGTAAAGGGTTTGAATCTATCTCTAGCCAGTTTGCCCGTAGGAAGGGTGGTTATTGAATAGTTAGATACATGAAGGTGGTTGGGGGCTCGTATAATAGACTCTGACCATTCTTTTAATTATATATATATACTTAATTTTTTAATGTTGTAAAAAAATATCTTTATTAATTATGTTTAAAAGCGAAATACACATTTTTTTGGCGTCGGCTAAGATGTAAATTTTGGATTCTAAGTTTTTAATTGGAAAATAAACGAGAATTGGGTGATATTTTCTTAAAATATGCTAATTTAAAGTAACCAGGAAAAGATATATTAATCTAAAATTGAAATTTAACTTAGAAGTTAAAGCTAATTAAATTAAAAGAAATTAATTAAATAAATTAATATTATTTATTGTTCAATTTTACTAAGTAGCTAGCATACATTATATTTACCAAGTGATAATTAGGTCTTTAATATCAAATAAGTATAATTTAGGCTATAAAATTAGAATTAATAACAAGTTTTAGTAATAAAAATTGTTGAAGTTCTATCAAACAAATGAGATATGCACGTGTTAAATAATTGATTTAATCTTAATAATTAATATTAATTAATTAAAAATTATTGTCTCATGTTGATGAATGTTTTCTTTTTATTTATTTAATTGATCGAAATATAACTTATTATGCACTCATTTTAATTTACTAGGTAATTACAATTCAAAATAATTAATTAAATTAATTATGATTTATTTAGTACATATAAGATTGATATAATTAAAATAAATAAAAAATTACTATAATATAAATTTAATTCTTCTAGTCTAAAATAAATTGCCAGATATATTATTTTAATCTAAATAAATTTAATATCTATTATATCAAATAATTTTTAAAAATTTTCAGCTAAATTATTTAATTAGAGGAATATTTAGCATGCATGCCACTCAATTATCATGTATTTACAAATGTAGCACCTACATTTCAACTTTTTATACTTGCCCCCTTCTTATGAAAGGAAATATATATTTGATTTTCCTTTATAGTTAAAATAACAATATTTTTTATGTAATATACTATATTTTGATGGTAAAATTGTAAAAAAATAAAGTTTAAATATAAAATTTATAAATACATGAGATTTTCATGGTATTGCTCAGCTCGTGTTCGGCTCGTTTATATTTCGAGCTCAAAAAGAGCTAAAAAAGTTTGTTCGTGTTCGGCTCGTTTGCTTAACCAGCCGAACACGAGCTGTTTGCGAACAACGAACCGTTTTGACAGCCCTAGTATTATCTAAATGCCTGATAATATATATTTACCTCTTACTAAATTTTATATTTTAAATTTATATCAAGTAATATTTTCATATCATATAAAATTATTATTAATTTAATTTAAGACAAATAAATATATCTTTTGATATATATAGATAGTTGAACTGTACTTCAAATTAAAATTTAATTATTATGAGAAAATATTATATCCATCAATAAAATATATCACATCGCATCATATTTTTTAGTGTTGATATTAGACGTTGTATTTTCTTAATTGTTAGATATGTAAATACGTAAGTTTTGAGTGCTATATATGTAAATCTGGCGCTCGATTTTTGCAGGAGGCCATTAGTGATCGATCGCACTGGCAGCCAGAAAGCATTTCCGAGGTAATCGCACGCTCGCTGTGGTCTCCCGCTCCCAGCGGGACTTTGACGAGAGCCATAGCTCTTTCGAGCTACGGAACCATGGCCTCCGATTCTCCTAGATCTCTCCGGGCTCAGATTCCTCAGAGCAGCAGGCCTGGTGTGCATACTTCTTCTTTTTCATTCGTTTACTCACGGTTTCTATGGCGGCGATTTCTTTATCGTGCCTTCGATTCATCCTCAGTCTAATTACTTATTGATTCGTGTTTGATATTTAGTTTGATCACTTGGATGAAATTTTGCTGAAATATTGATGCGCTTGATGTGTTTGGAGGATTTCATCACAAATCGCTAAGGGATAATAGGTTGTTGGGACAGGAATTTGTTTTTCTTATGATGTTTGTTTTAGCTTTATGTTAGCTAACGATGAATCAGGGCATGAGTGATAGAGTTCATTTTGTAATAATTAATGACTGTGCTGCGTATGGTTGTGATGGAAGCGTGCCTTGAGTCCGGACTCCGGACGTAGCTCTATGTTGATTTCTAATCAGTTTTTGGTTGATGTTATTTGCAAAAAATTTTCTGTGCGGACTCCTGAGGTACCTCTACGTGCGACAGAAGTTATTTCTAAGTTATTTTCAGGTTATTTGACCAATTTATTTATAGATACAATCTAAGTGTCTCTGTGAGGATGAAATACAAAATGGCTCACCCTCTTTTATAGGCGCACCAATCTGTTTTAAAATTTCAGAAATAGGAAATAATGTTTTGTGGGGTTGATGATGATCGATAGGCTTCCAATAAAATCCTCTTTTAAAATAAGTGAATTAATCGGCAAAATCCTTTTATATTTCTACCTTTCTTTTTATTCAACTAAAATAAAATTATTCACTCTCGTTTTCTTCAATGTTAAAACCTGTCCTAAGATAAAAAAGCTAGACGGCTCACAGAAAAATTCAGCTAATTCTTTCATGCGATATGCACTAGAAATTAACAAATGATTGTGTTGCTGCATACATCTTCTAAACAAAACTTTTAGCTGAGATAATCATTCTCATGTGAATTAGACAAATGTTTCCTTTTCTTGGAATGCCACTGTTAGGGTTTGCCACACCACTATAGGGAAGAGTAATTTGGGGTGTTATGATCATTTTAAGAATTTCTATGAACTCTTCCAATCTACCTTAAGTAATTTAAGCACAATTAAACTTAACTACAACAAGTACACAAAGGTAAACATGGATGATCTAAATCAATTAAATGTGCGATAAAATCAAAGAGATAGATTGGCGCAAACCAACTTTTACATGCTTCAATACACATTAGGCATTCCGAGACTAGCTCTTAAGAAATCTTCTAATTCTTCATTTGCAAATTGCGTGCAAAGAAGCTTGAATTGATTATCATTAAAAGCTGATTAACAAGAAGACTTTGAGCAACTTTTCAGATTAGCACAACCCTGCAAGGGCTTGTACTTCATAATAGTTTTGTCAAAGCACAATGTACAATACGATCCACAAGACTTTATTTTTGCTTCAAAGTGCATGGCACAGGGTGAAGCAACATTTTTTATTAACTAAAGCGATAATAGGTTATATAAAACTATTAAGATAAGAAATTATATAATTACTTATGTGTCATTTTAATTGTATGTCATTAGATATATTAAGTATTTTTTTTTTAAGAATAGAATTCTTATCAAACGATATGCACATTCATTTAATATAGGTGGTTGTCCAAAGAAGCTAGTGAAAGACTAAATTATTTCAGAGGTCTCTTGAAAGGAAAGGTGAGTGATCATTTTATTTTATGCATAAATTAGTGTTTTATTAAATGAATTAAACAAATATGACATTTTGAAAGTCTGAAAATATATCACTAATGAAAGGAAAATAACAGACATGTGACACATTTTAATGGATTTTAAATTGATATGAAAAATGTAAATTTTAAGTCATACATGATTACCCTCAGATTGTACTGAAGGAGATATGATGTACCCGTGCACGTTAAAGGAAATGGTAAAGGTTTACCTTCAGATGCAATTTGAGGGTATATTCAGCTATATTTTTTAAGATACCTACGAGTAAATTTTGAGGGTATCTTCAAGTATATTTTCCAGGTTACTTTTAAGTATGATGGGAATCCTGCTATGATTATTGAAAAGATTAAAATTATGGGAATCCTGCTATGATTATTGCTGCTATGATTATTGAAAAGATTAAAATTATAAATACTCAAAGTGATACGAGAAGAGCTAAAACTAAAATGAAAGTTTAAAATTTTATAAGGTAATGAATAAACATTATAATTTGATGAATGTTAAAATTATAATTACTCGTCAAGTCAAACTTACAATTGAGATTAATATTTTCTTTCAAGAAAATAAATAACTTTAGGTTGATATGTCTGATAGGAGAGATTGATTTACAAGTGGGAATCCTGCTATGATTTGGGAATCCTGCTATGATTATTGGGAATCCTGCTATGATTATTGAAAAGATTAAAATTATAAATACTCAAAGTGATACGAGAAGAGCTAAAACTAAAATGAAAGTTTAAAGTTTTATAAGGTAATGAATAAACATTATAATTTTATGAATGTTAAGATTATAATTACTTATCAAGTCAAACTTACAATTGAAATTAATATTTTCTTTCAAGAAAATAAATAACTTTACGTTGATATGTCTGATAGGAGAGATTGATTTACAGGTGGGAATACTGCTCTGATTATTAAAAAGATTAAAATTATAAATACTCAAAGTGATACGAGAAGAGCTAAAATTAAAATGAAAGTTTAAAGTTTTATAAGGTAACGAATAAACATTATAATTTGATGAATGTTAAGATTATAATTACTCATCAAATCAAACTTACAGTTGAAATTAATATTTTCTTTCAACAAAATAAATAACTTGATATGTCTGATAGTAAAGATTGATTTACAGGAGAAGGACTGCAGCTGATTGTTACTAGTTATGTTGTGTTTGTAGTTTCTTTTTATTATATCATTTAAATATTGATATATTGTTTAATATTAGTTTGAGATATAGTTCTTCAGACTATATTTTTGTTTCTGGATGTTTAATTTTTTAGCACATTGTGGATTAGTGACGTTTTTATTTATTGAAAGTTTCTGAAAAATTTTGTGGAAGGTAAAATGAAATGTCAATACTGTCAGACCGCAGTTCCGCTTTAGTTAGTCTAAGCACCGAGTTGGGTTGTGACAAGCAGTGCCAATTATTTGCTTTTCTTGCTCTTTTTAGACAGGTTGTTTTTCATTTTGTTCACCAGGAGCTCAATTGAGCTGCCCACTTTTGTGACCAATGGGCTCTTACTCATAATTTTTCTTTTGATATGGTCCCTAAGTCGTTGGAGCTTTTTGTCATCGTTCGCGACGATAGGGCCTATTTTGTACAGGTCTGAGGATCTGTTTTTTTTGTGCTTTTTTGTACTTCTTTATATGTTTAATGCAATATGCACACCTTCACAAATCACCCTAACACATCCTTCTCCTAGCTACACCCTTTTCAACCCCACTGCCAGTGTTAATTGCACCAAAGTAGATCAGTACCATCATTTGCCTTTGTAGTCATCAATTAACTCTCCATTCAACCTTCTAGCTGCAAGAATTGAACACTGCCCTCTTTTTACCACACTCTCGTTATTTTCTCTAGTTGTCTAAGCGTGAATCGCCTTCCATTAATCGTACTAGATATTTATATATATTATATATATATACAATTATATATATATATATATATATATATATATATAATTCAATATAATCACCTTTTATTTTATTTCGTTAAATTATTATTCGGGCTATACAAATTAATCTTTATGTTATTGTTTTGATAATAAATTATCTATATAATAATAATAATTTGAGGCTTGGTAATGAAAAAGTAGAGTTATTTTTTTTTATATTGAGTAATTCAAGGCTTATTGTAGGTAGGCTTGAGTCGATCAGATCCACTGTAGCATCAAATAATAATTCAGAGGTCTTATTGTAGTACATCCATCAATCGAATTTTGTTTGACTCTCAACTTACTCAAGAGTTCATAGTATACTCATCAAGCTAACTAAGTGTTATTTGTTAGGGGATAAACATACACTTCATTGTTAGAAGTTTAATCTTTATTACTTCTATTAGATTTTTAGTTATTTTCTTTGTGGATTTGTTGGTCCTGTTTCATTCAATGATAAATATCTGGAATATGCTTTATTTAGTGCTCATAATGAAATAGTTATTTGTCTTATTTTATTGTTGCACAACTACTTGCATGTCAGATTAAATTCAGTTATAATGTTTTCTTTTGTTGCATCACCTTTATGAATTACAATTAGATTTCAGTTACATTATATTCATATTTGAAATAATAGATATAATGGTCATATCATTTAAATAATTACGTATTAAAAGTTTGTAATTGTACACATGTATAATAATATATAGGTCAATAGAACTATTTTGAATGTTGGTTGATTGGATTGACGAGCTCATATAGGGATGATTCTATAGAAAATCGTTTGATTTTTTGGGTTAGTGTTTGCCTTATCGATTTTATATACATATATATATATACATATATATATATACATATATATATATACATATACATATATATATATATATATCTGGGTGTGATACTCGAATTGTTAATTGCATTGGGGATGACCGAGACTCGTATAATAGCCTCAGGTCATTCATTTAACTAAACTGACATCAAATAATAGATAACTATGGAATGACCATTGGAATGCATAAAATTAATTATGAATAATTGCAAATTTTATTAAAAAAATTGGGCATATTCATATTATCCTGACAATACTTTTGTGAAATAGTCTCATTCCATTGTTCATGCTGCATGCCTTAGTATCTTGCATATTATGCTTTAATAAATAATGGTTATTTATTATGTTTGATTTTTTATAATTATTTGTGAATATTTTTATATAGAAGATTTCACCCTGTCATTTGAGATCCATCTCCACAAAAACATACTTTTTAATATTTTCAGTCTTTGCACTAGTTACTGTATTTCTTTTTGGGCTTAAGTAGTTATTTATCTATCGTCATTTTAGTTTATTTTTCAATTAGTTTTTTTTTCAGTTGTATTAGTTGTTGAATTTTATTTATGAAATGGAAT